TTACTAATATGAGAATGAAAGTGAAGAATCACCAGAGTCCACGAACATGAAAAGAATAAGGGAATATTGTGAATAACTCTATGCCCACAAATTCAATAACTTAGATAAAAAGAACAAATTCTTTGAAAGATACAATCTGCCAACTCACACAGAAATAGAATAGGCCTATATCTATTTTAAAAATTGACTCAATAATTAATAACCTTCCAAGACAGAAACCATTTAAGGAAGAAAGTATATCAATACTACAGTCTCTTTCGGAAGACAGAAATTAAGGGAATGCTGCCTAACTCATTCTATGAGGCCAGCATTACCCTAACACCAAAATCAAACAAAGACATTACAAGAAAACTACAGACCAGTATCTCTCATGAACAAAGATGCACAAATCCTCAACAATATATTAGCAAATCAGAGGATCAAGGAGTACAAAATTTCAGTTGCTAAAGAAGTCACAGGTAAACTATAGCACAGGGAATATAGTCAATAATACTGTAATACAAAGAATTAGCAAACCAAATCCAATAATGTATAAAAACAATTATATACCATGACAAGTGAGATTTATGCCAACTATGCAAGGCTGGTTCAACATCTGAAGATTGATCTTCACATCAACAGACCAAAACAAACAAAAACAGCATTTGACAAAATCCAACACCCATTCATGATTCAAAACTCTCAGCAAACTAGGAACAGAGGGAAATTTCCTCAACTCAGTAAAAAGCATCTGCAAAAAAAGCATCTGCAAAAAAACCTACAGCTAACACCATGCTTAATAGTGAAAACCTAGAAGCTTTCGCATTAAGATCAGGAAAAAGGCAAGCATGTCCCCTCTGATCACTCCTTTTTAATGTTATACTAGAAGTCCCAGTTAATGAAATAAGAGAAGCAAATGAAATAAAAGGTATGTATCTTGGGAAGGAGGTTACATGATTGACTATGTAGAAAATTCCAAAGGGTCGTGGAATTTGAAATCAAAAACAATGCCATATACATTAGCACAAAAAAGAAATATTTAGGTATAATTTAACAAAATGTGTACAAGTTATATAAAAGGAAAACTATAAAACTCTGTTGATACAAATCAAAAAAGAACTAATTAAATGGAGAGGTAGCCGCCCATGCTCATAGACTCATTACTGTCAGGATATCAGTTCTTCCCTAACTGATCTATTCAATGCAATCCAAATGAAAATCCCATCAAGTTATTTTGTGGATATCGACAAACTGATTCTGAAGTTTGTATGGAGAGATAAAAGACCCAGAATAGCTAACACAATACTGAAGAGAAAAAGTCAGAGGACTGACACTATCTGACTTCAACTTACTATAAAGCTACAGTAACCAAGACAGTGTGACACTGACAAAAGAATAAACAAAAAGATCAATGAAACCGAAAAGATACCCTACCCCAATGGATACAGTCAATCAATCTTTAACAAAGGAGCAAAGGCAATACAATGTGAGCAATAAATGGTACTGGAACATCCACATGGGAAAAAAAAAATCTAGACACAGACTTTCCACCCTTCACAAAAATTAACTGAAAATGGAATATAACGGAGTATAGACCTAATTGTAAGTCCAAAACTATAAAACTCCTGGAAGATACCATAGAAGAAAATTTAGATGACCTTGGATGTGGCAATGACGTTTTAGATACAACATCAAGGCCATAATCCATGACAGACAGAATTGATAAGCTGATGGGGCACCTGGGTGGCTCAGTCGGTTAAGCATCCAACTTCGGCTCAGGTCATGATCTCACAGTTTGTGGGTTCAAGCCCCGCGTAAGGCTCTGTGCTGACAGCCAGCTCAGAGCCTGGAACCGGTTTCTGATTCTGTATCTCCCGCTCTCTCTGACCCTCCCCTGTTCGTGCTCGTGCTCTCTCTCCCTCTCTCTCTCTCTCAGAAATAAGTAAAACATTCAAAAGTTTAAAAAAAAAAAAAAAAAAGAATTGATAAGCTGAACTTACTGAATTTTTTTTAATTTTTTAAATTTTTTTTTAATTTATTTCTGAGAGAGAGAGAGACAGCATGAGCAGGGGAGGGTCAGAGAGAGAGACGGAGTCACAGACTCTGAAACAGGCTCCAGGCTCTGAGCTGGCAGTCAGCACAGAGCCCGACGCGGGGCTCAAACCCACGAACCGCGAGATCATGACCTAAGCGAAAGCCGGACGCTTAACCGACTAAGCCACCCAGGCGCCCAATGAACTTACTGAATTTTTGAACTTTTGTTCTGTGAAAGACACGGTCACTAGAATGAGAAGACACAGATCAGAAAATATTTGCAAAACATCCATATGATAAAGAACTATTACCTAAAATGCACGAAGAACCATTAAAAATCAACAATAAAAAAATGAAAATCCATTAAAAAATAGACAAAAGACCTTAACAGACACGATGAAAGGATATGTTGTTGATGGCAAAAAAGATGCTCTAGGTCAAATGTGACTGTAGAACTGCAAATTAAAACCAGTGAAATACTACTCTATCAGAGTAGCCAAAATACAAAACACTGACAACACCAAGTGCTGACAAGGATGTGGAGTAACAGGAACTCATTCACTGCTGGTGAGAATGCAAAATGACATGGCCACTTTGGAAAAAAAGTTCGGCAGTTTCTTACAAAACTGAACATACTCTCACCATCCAATCCAGCAATTGCACTCCTTGGTATCTATCCAAAGGAGTTTAAAATTTATATCCACATAAAAACATGCACATGAATGTTTATAGCACGTTTATTCATAATTATAAAACTTAGAAGCAACTAAGAGGTCTTTTTGTGGGCAAACTGTGGTACATCAAGACAATGGATTATTTGGTGCTAAAAGTAAGTGAGCTATCATGCCATGAAAAGACATGAAGGAACCTTAAATGCATAATTGTACTAAGTGAAAGACGTCAGTCTGAAAAAAGCTACATACTGTATGTTTCCAATGACATGACATTCTGAAAAAAGGCAAAACTGTGGAGATGATAAAAAGATCCGTGGTTGCCAGGGGTTAGAGGTGAGGAAGGAATGAATAGAAAGAGCACCAGGGATTTTCAGGGCTGTGAAACTACAGTGGTGGATACATATCATTATACATCTGTCAAAACCCAGAAACTACCACAAACACCAAGAGTAAATCCTAATATAAATGATAGATTTCAGGTGATAATGATGCAGGGGTGTAGGTTCATCAGCTCTAACAAACGCACTGCCCCGGTGGGGCTGCGTCCTGGATCAGTCCTGGAGGCTGTGCACGTGTGAGGGCCAGGGAATGCAACCTAAAACTGCTCTAAAATAAAGTCTAGGTTTTTCAGTTAAAAAAAAAAAAAAAAAAATGGGAGTGAAACAATCCAAATTCAGGAGAGGGTGACAGAAGGTGTTGTGCTGCAGATGTAAACAAAGGGCTGCTCAATTCTGGTTAGTTCTTAAGCTGAGTGACAGATCCCCAGATGGATCACTGATGACTTTTCGGGGTCCCTGGATTTACCACCCCTGGTGCTGACCATTGACATGACAGCTTTTCTTTGTTTAAACCCCATTTTGAGTCCTGCTGTTATTTTTAGTTAGAATCATCCAAACTGGTAGTCTCTTAATTTGGATGTAGTACAACTGGGATCTGATTTAGCATGTTAACATTTAATCCCACTCTGTTCGGCTAAGCAGATCATTAAAACTTTACAGTAGTTACCCCCTAAGTATATTTAAAAAATTTCGTTTGGGGGAAATAAGAAACTGTAATGAAAATAACTCAGTATTTTTCCAATCCTAAAAGGTATCTTCCTTTGAAAACATTGATTAAGCATGTGTGACACCAAGAACAATCAAGACTTTTTAAAAAAAATCTATAAGTCACCAAAGAGATAAGGCATCAGGCTTGTACTCTTGCCCTCCTGTGGGGAGCCGCTTAATCTGGCTGGAAGATCACACATTTCCCCTTGGAGCTACAGGCTGGAGGTCAGACCACAGGGCTGAATTCGACTACCACGGGAGTTCTTAAAAGGAGAGCAAACAAGGAAATGAGGAGATTTTGTTCAGAAAGGGGCATGGTCTCTGCTGTTCTGGCCAGAGAAATAAAGAACAATGGCCTCTCTGCAGACAAGTCCTATACTAGAAACTGTGTCCTGCTTAGGAAATCACTTCCATCCCACCTACTAGAGCAGACCAAAAAAAGGGATGGGACAAAAAAGGGACATGCACGGGCACACACCATTTACCCGATCTACTAGACACTAGGAGCTAAGCCCTTCGCCTACATGGCTCTATTTAATCCTCAAAACAACCTTGCAGGAGCACCTGGGTGACTCGGTGCTTGCATCGGCCTCTGCACTGACAGTATGGAACCTGCTTGGGATTCTCGGTTTCCTCTCTCTGCCCCTCCCCCACTCGTGCTCATGTTCTCTTGCGCTCTCTCAAAAAATAAATAAACTTAAGGGGGGAAAAAACCTGCACAAGCAAGCCTGCTCATCTCATAAGATGAAGATGCAGAGAGGTTTAGCAAGCTGCCAAAGGCTGCCCACTAGCAGTTCGTGGAGGTGAGATTCAAACCCAAGTCTTTCCAAATCTAAAGCTCGTATTCCTTTCTTTATTAGCATACACAAGAACCACAAAGAATACCACGGAACTAGTCAGTCTTGGAGCATTACCTCTTTTCAAGGACTCAAAGGCTACCCTTCCTCAACCTTCTATCTCTTACCCTCTGTCAAGTGCAGAGCTGGCCACACCATGAAGACGCAGATCCAGCCAAGCTTAGCAGGGTTCTGTTATGCAAAGGGATCCCTACCTCCCTTGGTTCCCAGACTAAAAAGCCTGGCCCTCACATCTTCACATCCATCAGCCCCTTCACACATGCATCATCTTGGCCACAAGAGGAACGAAGTTGGGGGACAGGGGTGGAAGCATTTGCTCAAGGTAAGTACACTCTGTCTGCCCCCACTCCAGCTTCACACTGAAGCTAACTCTCAATGCTCGTTCTCCCGACAGTCATTTGCACCATTACCTAAGGTCCAACAAGAGACGGCCCTCAGAAGAGGGGCGCTGCTGTAGATGGCGTGCATGTACATGAGGTGAACCATCAGCTCTGCCAGCCACCAGTAGCAGAGGAGGCGACCCAGCCCCAGGGCAAAGGCGGGAAGGCTGGACTTCAGTGAGCAGTACTCTTGCTGCTGCATCTAAAGTAAAAACAAAAGAAGGCATTAGATTGTGCCTTAATTTTTTCCATCTTTCAAATAGTCCCCTAGACAATGTTTCTAGTACACAGTCTCACAAACATTATTGCTATCTCTACTAAAAGAGGATTGGTTCAGTCGTTCATTGTTCTTAAGTGACAGAAAACTCTCTCCCAGAGGAAGAACAGGGTGGGCCCGAGGAGGTAGCCAGGAACCAAGATGGGTTCTGCGTTCCTTCATCCCTGGCAAGAGCCCTGCAAAGAGCCAGGGTGGAGGACAGGATCTGACGTAGTCTCTCTTCCTCAGGACTCTGGGGTCTCTTTGGGCCCAGCTGTCCCCTGCCTGTCTTCATCCATCACCCACCCACATGTAAGGCTGGTAAGAGTAGGGCCAAGTCAGGAAGGGGTGCAGGACTGGTAAGAGAAAGGGCGAGTGAGACACAGAAGCTGACAACAAGGGGAAAACGAGAGGTGGGTGTGCCGTCCTACCTGAAGCTGTTTTTGAAACAAGGTGAAATAAATGCCAACAGGGACACTATGTGGGACAAACCTCTGGCTCGGCAGGCAGTGCAGTGTAACAGCTAAGAAGATGGACTTTACAGTCAGAATTGGGATCCAATTCTAGCACAAACCACATGGCTGTGTGATCCTAAGCAGGTAAGTTAATCTCTCTGAGGCTTGTTTCCCTCATATATAAAGTGGAAAAAAAATTGTCATGACTAAAATATGCTAACACAGAAGAAGCACGGAGTGTAACACCTGGCGTATAAAAAGCACTGGATAACTGCCAGTATCTGGTAAGTGATGTGCCTCCTACTGCCTTTCTTCACATTCTTCCTTCATGGCCTCCCAGACCAGCAGCTACAGGGCAGAATTAGGAGACAGTTCAGAGCCAAACACCAAAGGCAAGAGGAAGAAGTTCTGATTATTCACAGTCACAGATGAACTACTGAGAGTTCACTCAATATGTGTGGACAGTGCAGAAGCAGTTCTAGCAAAGCAGCCGGGCTCTGGGTCTTGCCTCACTGCCTGCTGTTTAGGGATGCCCAATAATTTAAAATACATAGATGCTGAAACGCAGAAGCATCTTGTAAAATCTGCATGAATTCAATCAATTTCACTTACACCACTAGACCAACGTACAAAAACAGAGAGCACGTCAATTTTTTGGATCTTACTCTGACAAGATTGTTAGACCGAAGCCTGCCACGTAATGCAGAGGTGAAGCTAATGTATAAATGATGAAGGTGAATCTGCAACATTCTCTGGCAGAAATGGGCTTGATTTAGCTTTTGACAAACAGGAAAGGCGCATTCCTAGGGCCTCTTCGGCTTCCACGCTCTGTGAACATCAAAGGCACAAGGAGTCCCACTGCACCCAGGAGGAGTGAGCACCACTGCCCTCAGAGAGGAAGGGGAACCTGCACGCCAGGGAAGTGATTTTATTCCATTTTGACCATGCATTCTACCACTTTCGCAAACCATCCTCTCATAGCAAGAAGCCAGATGAAGAAATTCTGGCTGCCTCAGGGGCATTACAATAACCTGCACAAATGGTGTGGCTCCCTTTTGCCATCTGCACCCAGGAAAGCTCACTGGTTTAATATTTTTTTTCAATGTAAATTGATCAAACTAAAGGGAATTTCCTTTTCCCTTGGCCTTAGAAAGGTATTTTGCCAAGCCATCCCAACCTGCCTTGTTAGTTAGAAGGAACAGTAAATGCTGGGAGGGATCTACTGGGTCGCCAGGGAAGAGTTTTCCAGGAAGGAACACAGGGCATACGAGGTCTTTGCAGACCCATACAGATCACAGCTGACTGCAACCACAGCTGAACTGCATGACCCAACGCACATCCCTTTCCAGGCATCAACTGAGGGTGGCTTTCATTCGAATGCATCTTAGGTGTGCATGCTCTGCAAGACTGTACCAAGTCTACCGCAGTGGATCTCTAGCACAATGGATGGATTAAACCCCAGTGCAGAGACGCCCAATCATTCATGTCTGCATTATCAAATTGAGAAGAATAGGAAATAACTCAAATGTCCTACGGTAAGAGGTTAGTAAAATGCATGAGTGCACCCCAATATATTATGTAGCCACGAAAACTATTTTTTTCAATGTGCATAAATAATGAAAAACTGGAAAGATACACACCAAAATGGCAACGGTGATGGTACTCTTTTTGGTAAGATTTTTGGGTTGCTTTTAACAATTGAAGGGGGAAAATAACGGAACTTCACAATACTGTGAAGACTTCAGTCCTCTCTGCTTATGAGGCAAGGTCCTCTACTTCACCCTTCTAAAAAACATCTAGCTTCAGGATCTCCCCTAGGCAGCCCGGGAGCCTCTACGGGGGAGTATTCTCTCTCTCCTACACTAGCCCCATGTTTATTTCTCAACTTCCCACCTCGCTCGTTGATTTTCTTACCTATGTACTGAGTTCCTCTTTGTTCATGCTCGTTCAGGTCTCTAAAGCCAATCCATTTTGATCGAATTAACATCAGCAAATGAGGAAACAATTATGAACATAGTGTCCATCGGTCTGTGGAGGCTGGAAGAGGTCACAACAAAGCAATGGGCAGAGCTGAGACATGAAGAGGCACCTACACCATTCTAGACCACGGGTGGGCCTTTCTTGGTGCCACGCCCAAGGAGGGAAGCAAGTCCCTGGCTGAACGTGATAATGGCCTCAAAAGCGGTGTTGACAGAACACAATGTTCACACAACTGAATGTCTCCAGTTACTAAAGATAGCAGCTCTGCACACGGCCTGTACGCCCCTGAGCATAAGCCTACCCCAATGCAGGTGCACTGAAGACCAGACCTGCACCTGAGGTCTCGGAGCATCACTGGGGGGTGCAGCCCCATCCCAGGGAGCCCCCCACTAGGCAATCAGGAAACCATGTCTACTGAATCATCTCTTAGCTCTAGGCAACCGCCATTCAAGGTCAGTTCAGAGGCCTGCCTTCGCTTCCCCAAACAACGTGCAGTCTAAAATGACATGAATATCTGTAAGGAGAAACAGGAGGTACATTTTGTGGCTGACTGGATTCCCAATAATGGCTTTTCTACTGTCCCCAGAGCAAAACTTCTCTGTCCGGTTTAATAAGGTATAATTATGTGTCACCACTGGACCAGAAGGGCTGGACTGTTCTCCGCAACGCCCCCTTTCTGATGCTGGATGTCTCCGCATTCAGAGTAACAGAAATGTCAATTCCTTAATCACACAAGTGAATACAAGAGAAGGAAAACAATCAGTTTTTCCTTCTTTTCACTTGTACTTTTAAAAAAATAGTTATTCATCTTTCTTTAGAGTCATACGATTGCAGTCCCTTCATAACTTCAATCTAGTTGACTCCCTTTTAATCAAAAAAATTCAGCATCTGTCCCTTGCCAATCCAGCAGGAATAAAAGATATGCCATACATAGTTCGCCTAATGAGCAGGGCTGCTCTGTGTGTGCGAGCATTCCATCTGAGAGATCTCAAACCTCGGGGGGTGCCAGCCATAAGACCGTTGGAAACCGCCATCAATGGGAATTTTTAGTTAAGACTCCACTAAAAAATACACATTAGCTCATCTGCCAAGTGCGTTTTAAAACACATTATATTTTAAAACCTCATTTCATGCAAATTGCATAAAAAGGAATATCGAAGCCTTTCAAAGATAGTCTGATGATTACAGATGAATGATAGTTCTCAAAGATGAAAGGTTCTTTTCCTTCACACACGAATAATGCACATGTTTAAGAGCACCAAACAAAAGGCTACTCTGGAGCCCATGTTCGATTGTGCCAACTCTGCACCAACCTCCCCACTTGGGTCAAGAGCACTATAGCCAGGAGTCTTATTCCTTTGTAACGGAGGAGCATCTCTCTAGTCTGTGGTCACAGGCCGCACCCCTCCTCCCAACAAGGCACTCTGTCATCAGCCCTTCCCTACCCCTCCCCAGGCATCCAGACCAGGCCAAGGGTATTCGGCAGGTCTCTGCCGCAACAGGTGTACCTGCAGCTGGTGCAGCTTCCACAGGACGAGGGGGCCTCCAGACCCAGACGTCCACCGGGCCACACTGCCTCCGCTAACTGCTGCGGGAATGGCTGCCCAGCTGGCAGCAAGGCTCACGTCTGTATTCCTTCCACCTGACCTGCACTCTCTTGGCCTCCCTCTGCTTCTGTGTTACCATCTACATAGTAGTGATAACAACAGCACTTCTCTCTGCCTGTGGCTGTAGCGAAGAAGTTGGCACATGTCACGCATGGCTCAGAGCCAGCGCCCACCACAAACCTGAGCGGCACATCTGTGACACTGCCTGCCTGCCCAGCTCTCACGGACCCCGGCCCCTCAAGGGCCGGGCCCACCTTGGTACCTGCAGCAACCACCCGCATCTCTCTTCTGAAGAGGCAGAAGCATGATACTGGCCTCCTCTAAAGCCAAGAATGGCCGTTGCCCAGAATCCCCTGCCGCTGTGCCCACGTATGTGACGGGACACCCAGAGTCTTGGTTCTGGCCTAAACTTCTGTTAGTTATCAACTTTGGGAGCTTCCTGGGTAGAATGCAAAACTGGCCCCTATACACAGGAGGCATGGAAAGAGAGAAGAAAGAGGCAGGCCACTCCAGATTGACAGGTGGCCGGTGTAATAAGCAGAGGAACTTCTAACAAACCTGGGCTTGGGAGGCTGCAAGATTTCCGCAGCCACCTATCAGATTGTAAAAGTTTATACAGAGGCCTTAACTGGGTTCAGTCACAGACTCAGTCCAGAGGGTCTCGACGACACCTTATTCTCAAGGTTATGTACTGGAAACAGCTCCGAGTGGGAATGGTGGGCAGAATGTACATTCTAAGGACAGGAGAAGAGGTGAGGAGCTCTGACTGCCTGGGTTCAGCTTTGGGGGGGGGGGGCGTCAATCAGCAGTCACATCCCCTCCATGACCTCCTCCAACAACCTACTCCAGAACTGTCACACACTTTTGGCTAACAACAACAATAACGGTAACCATTAATACTTCATAGTGTTTACCTGTTAAGCCACATTACCCATACAAAATCATAAGACCCTACTAACACTCCTATGAGGGAGATACTATCATTCTTCCCATTTCACTGATAAAGAAACGGAGTCACAAACAAGGTAAGTAACTCACCAAATTCTCTCAGGCCAAAGCAAAGCAGAACTTTAAACCCTTTAACAGTAGGGTTGGGCTCTAGGATCATTGCTCTTAACCACCACGCTCCCCGAGGGTGGGAGCACAGCCCTCAGCAAAGAAAAGCCCCCCGGTCCTACCACACTCAGACTCACCGTCTGGCCCCACACCAGCCACCCACTGCACAATTCCACCTGCTCAGGGTAAGATGGGGGGCCCCCAGGCTCCAGACTAAGCAAATAAAAAAGCCTTGTGTGTAAGTGCCTCTGCTTGTTAAACCTGCCCACAGCCACAGGAGAAAAATAAACCCGGCATATGTTCCTGAAACTGCAAACGCCATCTGAGAGGGCCTTCAAGTTAAGGCACTGCAGCCTTTTAAGATGCAGATTTTTACCTGCTTACGATCAGTGTGCAAACTTCACATGCCTTACCTCACAGACGACAACTCTTCTATACTTCCGTCACGTTGCGTACGCAATTTACACACAAACAAACCGGGTGAAAGATACATTCTCCGCAGGGTGTGCCTAATATTGTCATTTTATCAACCAGAGTTTGCCCTCCAGGTTGGGTTCCTCAATGGGGCTCCGCTGCCCCCTGGTGGCAGAGCCTCATTCTCCAGCTTTCCCTGACCTGAAGACCTAAGGACCATGAATGTCAGCATTAACCATTTCAGGTGATATTTATTCATTCACTCACACAAATGTTGCTTACAAGTTCTTCCCATTGGCTTTCCGCCTCCTGCTCACAGCGCCCTCCTTCTCAGACCCCCTGAAGGAATTCTTTCACTACAAGCTTTAGCTTCCTGGTCAACCGCTCCCCTTTGGGACCCATTTCTCTCAAAGACGGTAAGTACCCCATAAACACCTTCTGTGACTGCAGGAACCGCTTGGCTGCTTTTATTTGCCCTGCAGCTTACTAAACATTCTGCCATTTCTAGACCAACTTTCCTCTGAATCTTCCCAGACCATACGAAAACGTTTCAATTCGCCTTCTGAGTTTCCGGCTTTTAGCAAGTGCTACCATTTTGAAAGGAATGAAAACGAGAGGAGTAGACAGAGATGCAGAGTTCCTACAGGAAGAAATCTGGAGGGCCTGAACCCACCCTGCACTTGTTCACTCCCAGCCTCTGGGCCCCGACTCTGCTGAGGAACTTAGGACGGTTCAACCTCCCAACCTCCAGCAGGCATCAGAATCACCGGGAAGGCCCCTTAACATCCATTGCTGGGCTCCACCCCCAGAGTGTCTGAATCAGAGCTGAGGTGGGGCCCAAGAACCTGTATTTCTAACAAGTTCCCCGGTGGCCCTTCTGCTGCCAATCCAAAGACCACACTTTGAGACCCATGGAGCTTTAGAAGATCAGCTGCCTTCACTAACCACCTGTCTTTTACACAAGAATTTTAAACATGATTTTCAAACACAATCTTCCAATTACTTCATGACAGAAGAAGGATCCTATGTAACCCAAACTGAGGTATGAGAAACTGTACGCTAAACATGTATCTGCCTGGAATATCCATTTCACTTGAAGAATTATGGAGGGAAAAAAAGCTAAATAATTTAACTGGCAATTTTAAAACCACACGTTGTTATAATGCAGAAATACACTTTTGAGTACAAGAATAACTTTGTGGGATTTTTAAGACCGAATATGGGATTTCTAAGAACCCTGATGCTGTTCCGGGGGGCGCTTGACATGCTGCCCTTCGGAAACATGCAGCACTGCTGCTCGCCCTGCACTTTGAACTCACGTCCAGGCATGTGTGTGCACACACATGTGCCTGCATGGCGACATGTGCCTGCATGTGCTGTGTTTATGCATACAGGAGTTGTACTGTGTGTGCAAGTATAGGTGTTCATATGTATTAATATTCTCACCTCCATCAAGATTGTTTTGCTTTGGTGACAGGAGGTAGGAATGTCCCTTGAGAAACACAGGCTTTAGGTATTATCACCTAAACTTTGTGAACATGTTCCATGAGGCTAGCTGTTGAGAACAAAAGTTCTAAGTAGGAGGGAAACTGAGGTGGGAATGACACAAGTAGCTTGATCGGAGCTTCAGACAAAGCTGTAGGGAAGCTGGGTCCTGGACAGAAATAGGCACTTGGACCCAGAGACATAGTTACCTTCAAACTCACTCCACCTGTTCACTCTGTTGGCTCATCTAGGTCACCCTGAACAATTCCCAGGAGATGGCAGCGTTATTTCATAAGCAGTTTGTGACAATAAAGGAGAACAAGGTATCTGCCAACCAACAGCTTAGACAGTATCCCTTTCTACTTTTCCAAGTAACACCACCAGAATCCACTTTTGTCTTTCCCTGGGACTTCCTGGCAGTGGATACCCACTCCTAAGTTCTGTTCTGCACCCAGTCACTAATCCTGGTTGCCAGCACCCACTGAAGAGTCAGGGTGGGGGGTTCCTAGAGCCAACACGCACAAGAGACAGGCAGGCCTGTGTTTCAAATACTTATTTCACCTAAGTATTTCATTTGTTACCTAAGAAGTCACAACAATGACATGTTTTAAATCTGTGGGCACCCCTGAATGAAAAGCCTCAGGAATGTCATGGACCACCATGGCCAACATGGACGGAAGACCAATCCAGTCCCCCATGGGCTCTACCTGGGCGATGAACTCCGGGTAGCTGAGGATGGGCCCGTTGTGGAAAACAGGGTAATAGAAGACGTAGGCCACCAGCCAGGGGAAGGAGTAGAAGCCGTTCTCAGTCTCCCGCCAGCAGAACTCGAGGCTGAAGCTGGTGTAGTACAGGCAACGCACGGTCAGCGTGAACTGCAGCAAGTAGTACTCATTTTCTGTCTGGTACCACCCTCTCTGCAAAGTCACAAGAAGAAGACGGCTCTGGAGTGTCAAGGAGGGATGCCATCCGGTCCCCTGGGAAAGAGACCGCTTCCACAAAAAGAGCAGCTGTACCACAAAGGGGGTTCTCAACCACTGAGCAGCAGGGAAATCTCTCTGGTAATGGACACAAGGAGTTGATGAGCAGCGGAACGTTTCTAACACCGCTCATCTACTTAGCATTAGGCCTGACGTGCTGTGATGAGAGTTTTCCCAGATATGTATCAGATTCATCCAGTGGCGACATGGAGATTAGTTATAGCCAGTGGATACTCTGACAGTTCTTCCAACAGTACTGAAGGCAAAGAGAGGCTTATCAATGTCACATGGGATTCCTGTCTTCGATGGATCTTTCCGTTTGCTCTTGTTATTAATTTGGCTCCACATGTCGTTAAGGACTATTTGCCAAATAAGTTTTAGAAACACAGTCAATAGAAATAGTCCTTGCCTTCGAAGTGTCTAAATTGCCATACAGCAGATAGGTCTATAAGTATATAATTATAATGCAGCATGAAATAAGAAATAACAAGCATGTAGTAAAATATGTATGAAACAAAAGCAGCAATGTGGTAAAATCTTAACAGTACTAGGTGGAATAAAATTATGGATCATTTTATAATCTTTTTTATATTTTCCATAATATATATATTGCCTTTTTAATGAGAAGAACAAGTTATGGGAATACAAAGTATAAAATTGGGACAAAGGAAGGAACAGTTAATGTGCTCCATGAGGGGACTTTTACAACTTTACACAGAAAAACCAAGCAGTGAAGAGTTTCTATTGTATGTCTGGGACTTCAGCAGCCACCAAGAAAGACCAAGAGAACTGCAAGTGAAAAGCATGGAAACCCGGGCGCCAGGGCGGCTCAGTCAGTTAAGCGTCCAAATTCAGCTCAGGTCATGATCTCATGGCTCTTGAGTTCAAGCCCCGCGCTGGGCCCTGTGCCAACAGCTCAGAGCCTGGAGCCCACTTAACATTCTGTATTTCCCTCTCTCTCTGCTCCTCCCCTGCTCTCTCACTCTCTCTCAAAAATAAACATTAAAAAAATTTTTTAATTAAAAAAAAACATGGAAACCCAAAGCAAGTAGTTTCTGGTCATTTGTTTCCTTGCACAGTATTTTTCAAACCTCTAGTCTGCACAATAAACAGAACGTTTAGTCACTACCAACATCCTTAACTGAGGCTCACGATCGTCATATAAATGATAGTTATGATTGGAGTCTATTTTGTACATTTGCCAGGTCCCCAAAAAGGTAGGTGTGAATTCCTTTTTATTTTTATTGCAGATCTATTTTTAAGCCCTTATATTTAAATGATCACCTAGGTAATCACTGTGGGAAGTCTCTTTTGTTAAGATGGAGATGCTACCCTACGTTTTCTCTCAGGTCTAGATTTTGACATATGTGCTTAAAGCGTTAGCCCCAATCAGTTGGTGAGAAAAATCAAGATAGCGTAACAGAAAATATCATTGAATTTTCAAAATGCTACGGTTTTTACAGAATTACTTAACATATATCATGTTATCAGAGGCTCAGAGAAACTCCATGTGGAAGACAGAGCACCTATTACTTCCATTTTCAAAATGATGAAATTGAGACTCAGGTTAAATGACTACCTCTGGTTTCAAGAATAAGAAAGACAGTTACTAGAAGAGACAAGGAACCAAGTCATCCACTGGCTCATCTTTTCTGAAACTGTGCCGACTCACAGTGCACCAATGCCATCACTTGAGCATTGACTGAATGATCATGATCGACAACATGATCCACATGAATGATCATGTCAACAAGAATAAGGATACCACAAGACTTTTTCAGTGCCACAGTGACTAAAGAAAGAATATCAAAACTTCTCAAGATTTTCTCTGCAAGGAAAATACCTGCCTTCTCTCTCTCAGGGGCTATCATGGGCACTGCATGAGATAAGGAATGTGAAAGTTCCCTAAAATTGTAGAGCATTCTACAGATGATTTTTTGTTTGTTAAATGCATAGAAGACGATTGCTTTCTTTTCCTGTTGTTCCTTACCCTCTGGTTCCTGTGACATCTGGCACCTTCCATGCCTACCCAAACTGGGCAAAGAGGTAAAAGGTGAGCCCTGGGCAACCTTAGAAGGCTAAGACAAGGTCAGACACAAAAGACAAGATTCCAGAAGGCAACACACCAGGATTCGCATGCATCAACCCCATATGGCCACAAGGGGGACCCCTACCATGATTCTTCAATTGCCTTTTGGCTGCTAACAAAGGCAGCTACTCAATGGGAGCACTACCAAAGGGGCCGTCTTCTTTTCAAAAGGGGCCGTCTCCTTTTCAAGGGTAAACTAGAGACACTTACCTTAACTTCCTCCACATCTTGCAGCCTCAGTGTGGAGAGCAGCAAAAGAGAACAGAGCCATGACAGGAGCTGCGACTTGAACTGGGCTACGCAGAAGGAGATGAAGGTGTGGAGAAAAATTATGGCCGTGCCTTGGGCCCCCAGAACACACCAGGAGGCCCACATTCCATAAGCCCCCAGGATCCAGGGTCTGTGCTGCAGACAGGAAGGGACCCAGAGAGACACACAGAGGGAGGGGGCAGAGAGGAAAAGAGTGAGTGAATGGGTATTGCAATTAAAGGTTCCACATATAAGCAGAATACTTACTGAGCCTTTAAAACCAAACTCTTCTCACTGCCCTGGGGATTTAGTGCAACACAAAGTGGATTCAGAACGACCTTCCATGTCAGCCCCAGAGTGATGGCTGCCTACCCTAGAACTCCACCAGACCTGCCCAGAAGCAAGGAGCCACTTTCCTGCCTTCAGCCAAAGCCACCCAGCCCACTGGATCTACAAGATATTTGGCTGACTTTTCAAGAGACACCACGGAAGCCAGAAGCCCGTTGGAAAAACTACCAGCCTGGAACCCTGCATACACTATCCTGCAAAAATGAAGGTCGAAGAAAGTATTTGTACACATTTCTCAGGTGTCTCATGGAGACAACTGGGCCAACCAAACCACAAGCGGCTTTTGAAGGTCCAAACCAGATGTTTATATTGAAATATCTCCATACATTTTTACTAGCAAATTGTTTACAGTTGAACACTTGTCACAGAAAAAGCATATCTTACCTGCTTTATACAATAGAGTCCCTTGTTTCCAATCTGATTGACACATTCATTCGCATTTTAGGAGAATCAGAATATTGTTCTATCCAACTGGGGCACCTGGGTGGCTCAGTCGGTTAAGCGTCCGGCTTTAGCTCTGGTCATGATCTCACAGTTTGTGGGTTCAAGCCCTGCATCGGGCTCTGTGCTGACAGCTAGCTCAGAGCCTGGAGCCAGTTTCAGATTTTGTGTCTTCCTCTCTCTCTGACCCTCCCCTGCTCATGTGGTCTGTCTCTCTCTCTCTCAGAAATAAGTTAAAAAAGAAAACACTAAAACATTTTTTAAAGGCTATTGTTCTATCCAATTATCAAGTCTTTATAGTTACTGACATTGAATAACTAAATATGCCTTTGCTTGGTCATATCTGCCTGGTAAATCCTTACTGAAAACCACAATACTGTTTTAACATTGTTTGAGAGGTTATTATTATATATTTATATATATTTATATATATTTATATATATTTATATATATTTATATATATTATAGTGGTTTAATTACTCAAGCTTTGAAGTCAACTGCCTAAACAAATCCTGGTATCCCAGTTAACTACCTGTGTGACCCCAGGCAAGGGACTTAATCTCTCCATGCTGTTTTCATATGTAAAATTGGGATAAGGGCATGTCATTCATGAGCTTGCTGTGAGGATTAACTTAATGCATATAAAACACTTACCACAGTGTCTGTGTACATAGTGAGGACACAACCAATACTAGTTATCGGTCCTACAGGGGAATACAATGGGTCTATCCAGTGTGCACCTAAAAATATGGTTTCCAGGAATACACCACATTGAAAAGTAGGGAATGCTTGAAATAGGTCTTCTTGTGAAAAGAATTCTTTAAGGCAAAGACAAATGTGAACCATAAACTGTAAATCCCATCCTTACATGCAAACTCTTCCAAAATATTGCCCAAGTACAATTCTTTCCCAACCTATATTCCAGGCCCAAGAGAGAACATTTTGAATGAGCGACTAGGGCAGCCACTTTTAATTTCCAAGAAAATCAGAGAAAACTGCAGTTCAGTTTTACTATTTTTCCATCCTACTGCCCACAGAAGACAGCTACATAAATTTGCTTCACATTTTCCCCTACTTGCTCACCTCTGGGCAGAGTCCAATTATAAGAAACAAGGTCACCAAAGACCATTTGAAGAAGTAGTTTTAACAAATGAGGAAAAAAGGATTTTCCCACGTAATCTACAGCATTCACCAGAGATTCACCAGGGATCTTTTTCCACATACACATGGCTAAGTTTTTATTAAGCCTTATTTGATCCATTTGGAAGAAGCCTGTTTGTTTGGCTTTCATTTGGGAACTTAGCCACAGACTAAGGGGCTTCAATTTGGAAAAAGCTGAAGGAGATTCTCTGGTGAATTTAACCGTGCTCGCCAGTTAACGTACGCAAGCGTGTTCCAAATTCTCCTCCCCTGTTTTCCCCTGCCATCTGGGACAGGCCGGCCACATTTATTACCACTGTAACGCAGCACAGAAAACACTCTCCCACAACCTCATGTTCCCCACTAGCCCTCATCTTAACCCACTCATTCTCCCCAGGGGGTCGAGGCAGCTCTACCATACACATGCATGGCAGGCAGGAGATGGAAAGAAAAGGATGTAAATAATTCAAAACACCTATTTTTTTAAAACTTATGTAAATTACGGGGTGCCTGCGTGGCTCAGTCAGCTGAGCATCCATCTCTTGATTTTGGCTCAAGTCCGGATCCCAGGGTTGTGGGATCAAACCCCATGTCAGGCTCCACGCGGAGCATAGAGCCTGCTTAAGATTCTCTCTCTCCCTGTGCCCCTCTCCCCTGCTTGTTCTCTCTCTCTCTCTCTCTCTCTCTCTCAATAAACAAACTTACATAAATTAGAATCCGGCTAACATCCTGACACAGCATGACTGGTCATCCACACATTGTTCGCTGACTGGCATGAGAGAAGAAGAGTCCCCACCATCAGTACAGCCCTCGGGCACACCTCCTCCAGCCACTCTCCCTCCACATGCCTGCCTAGAACTGGCGGAGCAGCGAGGAGAGGGGCTGGAAATGGCGTGACACTGCTACCCCTACAGGCAGCACGTGGAGGGACACTGCCACCCGTCCACACAGCACCGCGGACCGTCTGCTTCTCTGAGGCAGAGGTCTTTTCCCAAGTGCTTCAAAGACCATTTTCATATGCAGAGGCCTAGGAAGGCCTGTTTCACCTACTTCTACCCCAAAAGTGCTTATATATTTATCAAACTTTTATCTACCTCCTACGTGAAAACGCTTAAGTATCAGGTATTAGGCCTCAGACACAAAATATGCCAGGAACTACTTTTCAAAAATCAAAAATAAAATGTGTTATATTTTATTCCAAAACAGTACTTCTCATTCCTCACCAGAGGGACTTTAAAATATTTTCCCCCAAGTTCTCAGGGCAACCTAGGCAGATACACAGTTTTGATCATGTGTATAATCTAGGTCAAGCTCAAGTTTTAAAAAATCCACCTAAGAGTCAAAAAAAGAAAAAAAAAGCCCAATTTGTTTACATTAAGTGATGATTATGACTGGAAATTAATGGGTCACTTAAGAAGGCACAGAGAATCACGTTGATCAAGTATGCAAAACATGAGCTTAATTTAAAGCTGGGCTGTGAGGTTTCTAATTTAGAAATTTAAATTCTAATTCTATACAATGCTTCTGAGATTGAGATAGTTGTAGATTCACCTGCAGTTTTAATAATATAATGAGATCCCACACACACACACACACACTTCACCCAGTTCTTCCCAATGGTAACATTTTGCAAAACCATAGCATATCCAAAGAGGATACTGACATTGCTACAGTCCGTCCGCCAAGTTTATCCAGGTTTCCCCAGTTTTGCTTATATTCCTTTGTACGTGTGTTCAGTTCACAGGTATGGGTTCAGTCTCCACACAGTAAAGGTATGTAACTGACATCTGATCTTTACAGATGGAGGTACACAGCTCCCTCACCAGAAGGCTCTCTCATGTTGCCCTTTTCCAACTACCTCCTTCCCACTCCCTTTCTCCCACATCCGTAACCCCTGGAAACCAATAATATTTTCCCCATTTCTAAAATTTTACTTGAAAAATTGTATGCAACCTTTGGGATTGGCTTTTTTCACTCAGCGTCATTCCCTGGAGATGCATCCAAGTTGCTGAGGGTAAAGTTTGCTCCTTTTTACAGTTGCGTAGTATTCCATGGTATAGATGCCCCACCACTCTTTAACCAGTCACCTAGTAAAGGACATCTGGGTTTCCAGCTGTTATTCTGAACAAAAGTGATATAAATATGTGTGCAGTTTTTTGTGTGTAAAAATAAGTTTTCATTTCTCAGGGATAAATGCCCAAGAGTAAATTTGTTGGGTTGCATGATATGCCAGAGTCCAGCTCCATCCAGGTCCAGGGGTCCCTGAAGGATGGACGGTGTCGGCGAGGGAGGGAAGGAGAGCGTCCCGAGATTCTTTCCAGTCACCAGGCAGGCATCTCTTCCTGGTCAGTGTTGGTGTCTTTATTTATAGGTCAAACATTAACATAGCATCAGAAAATAGAATTTTTGCAATGGATAGTTCTCTGATGTTTTGGAAAATGTACAGAAACAGGTTTTATGGAAGTATTCTTGCAGAACTGCCCCAATTATAGTGAGGTTGAGTAACTAAGAAAATAAGGTGTTCTTAGTGAAAAACGGGATAACATACACATTTTAACAATGCTAAGATTAAGTCATAGGTTAAGTTGCAGATATGCTTATCCATCCTCATCCCAGCTGCCAGTGTAAGGGAAGGTGTTTGTGGAATGTAGGCCTTAGGGAAGGGGCTGCCACACTGCTGGGAGCTGCACCGGCCTCGCTGGATGACAGTCACAGTGAGGAAATGGCAGGAGCTGTGCAAACGCTGCCATGAGAAAGAAAAACTGGTATCTCCTCCTGCTACTACTGACTCATGTTGGAAATGAGCCTGCTGGTATTGACCAGGCTTCACAATATTCCAAATCAGACCGATATTCTGCACACAGATTCCTCATAAGGAAAAGCATAATATTCCTGCCTTTTCAAAAGAGATTTTAGATGAAAGCACCGTGGATGATTGTCAAAAAGCTCTTCCTATGGGCCTTGCAGATCCAAGACTTAGATAATAAAGGGGGTTAAGAACACAAGAGTTACAATTGAGCCTGGGCCCGAGACAAAGAGCCTAATTTAGAGTTATGGAACAGATAAGGGCAGAACTTAATACTTATACCTTTTCTAACTGGTGATGTATGGCAGTCCCTTCCCTAAGGCCTACTTTCCATAAACACCCTCCCTTACACTGGCGGCTGGGATGAGAATAGGCTAAGAGTAGCTAAAACATACACCAAATACAAAGGCCGACACATTTA